GGAAAAAGGCAAAACCTTTTCTTTCAAACAGGAAATACGACATAAGTATCTTTTCTTCCCTCACAGGTCTTAGTCACAGGGAGGAAGACGAAGGGGCAGTGTCACACCACATAAGGTGAGCTGCCTCTCTGGTGGCTTTATTGGGAGCCTGGAGACACTGGGGAGGTGGCACACAGATTCTCTGGCACAGCAGGCCACATGCAGGTGCAGAGGGAACGGTTCCGATAGCTCTGACGTCGGGCTCTGGGGACAGCCTTGCCCTCACAGAGCTCTTGGTCAAAGTCAATTTTCTTACTTCTTTCTGTCCAATGTTCTTTTTTTGGAAAATGATTTCCTTATTGCTAAAGAAATTTCCTTGAAACTGAAATTTTTCAGAAATCCACCAGAGGGAGCCACAGACTTTAATAAAAGACCAAAAAAGAACTTAAAAAAAAAAAGGAGCATGTGTGTTCCCATGCTAGTTCAAGAGTCCTTGGGTTTTTTCCCTCTAGCTCTGAACTGCTCAAAAGGTGGAGAATTCATTTTTCCTGGTGCTGACTTCCTTTGCAGGGAAGTGCATTTCCTGGTCACTGGTTGGACGTGATGGTTTTATTCGCCCTTTTTTGTCCCAAGAGGCCCAAGACCTTGCCTCTCCCAGTGGCTGAAGTGCAGCTGTGACACCAACCGTGCAGGAAGAGCGAGGAAGGACACCCTTCCAGGCAGACCCTGCGGATTCCAGGTCACACAGCCCTCCCGCCCTGGATTGCAGCTGGATCTGACTCCATGTGCGAGGGAAGTAAGTTCAGAAAACATTTGCATTTGATGGGAACATTTAGTGGCCAAGAGGTGTCTAGTAAAGGCTGTGCCCAACACCCAGGGTGACCAGCCCCCATCAGAAATGGTGAGATGCGAAGTGTTTGGGTCCTTGGCACATCTGCATGTGCACAGTGAGCATGTGAGATGGCGCCCGCGTCCAAACACTAAATTCACCTCTGTTTCATTCACGCCTTACGCGCACTGCCTGTGGACACATTTACAGAATAGCTCGGTGCACCTGTCTTTTGCCTGTGGTGTACCCCGTGAGGTGCACTCGGGGACTCTCCGCCTGTGGCTTCGTGTTTGCACTGAACAAGTTTCAGATTTTGGAGCATTTTGGTTTCTGGACTTTCCAGTTAGGGGTGCTCAACCTGCAGTACTCTTGGCCCTTTCAATGACCATCAGGAGATAAAAATGGAACCTTTTGTGCTTCCCTCCTTGAGAGCCCCCTGCATCTATTCCTAGGATGGCTTCTAAATCAATCCATGGATCTAAGTCAGTCCATGGATCGAACCCCTGGCTAGACAGGGGTGTGTGTGTGCACCAAGTAAGAGCCTTTGTGGCAGGATAAGTTGACACAGGCTAACAGGACCAGGGTGATAGAGAGGACAGGAAGATCAGCAGGACCCAGCACCACTGTGTCCCTGTTGAGGTGACATTTACTATATAAATGCATGAAACTACCCCCTCACCCACACACATGCAAACACACACACACACACACACACACACTGAGCTGATTTAAAATGTCCTTGACCCCCCTTGTAGGGCCTTCCAACTAAGGAGGAGTCACTGATAAAAAGTGGCTTTCATTATTAGCTGCCACTCCCCTTGGTGGCACTGTTTGAAATAGGTCACCTTCTCGGGGTCACCTTGCCCAGAGCATGCAGGCTCCTTCTTGTCCTCCTTAACACCAAGCGAAAGCCCTTCCCACATCCCAACAGAGCCCTGAAAAGGGCCAGAGAGCTGGGACTTCACGGAGCGGCTGGGATCACAGCACCCAGTAATGGCTCCCAAGTCTCACGCCTCTTTCCTGTCTTGCTGGAGTTTCAGATTTGGGGGAAACTGTACATGTTAACAAATCAAGAACCTCACCTGAAGATTCCAAGCAAGGAGCTAAAGAGAAAACACCATGCCCATGCCTCGGGAAATGCAAAAGGCAGGTATTACATTTTCATATGCAAATCGGATGCAAAACAGGCAATCCTGTCATTAGGATGATTTGTGGGAAAATAACCCGGCAAGTGATATGGATAGCCGGCTTGGAAAAGAGGCATCCAAGTCATCTGATTCCAAACCTCTCCCGAAGGGGAACACATTTTCTCACCATATTTTATATGTCTGTAGTACACAGACATACATACACTCAAGAAGTTCAGAAGGTTTAAGAACTATTCAGCATATTGCAAGGCACGGTGGTGCACGCCTGTGATCCCAAGTGGCTCGGGAGGCTGAGGCAGGAGGATCACAGTTCAAAGTCAGCCTCAGCAAAAGCGCGACGCTAAGCAACTCAGTGAGACCCTGTCTCTAAATAAAATACAGAATAGGATTGGGATGTAGCTCCATGGTCAAGTGCCCTTGAGTTCAATCCCTGGTACCTCCCCCCACTAAAAAAGAGAACTATTCAGCATATTTAAGAACAGATTCTGGGTTTTATCCTGGGTTTTGCAAAACAAACAAACAAAAAAAATTCTGTGCCTCCCATAAACTCAGTTAACATCAAAATAACATCAAAAAAGACACCTTTGGAACTGAGAGGAAGGGACATCTTCTGTGGACATGGTTGTTTTTGTCTTTGATGGTTTTTTCTGGAGCACTTATCAGTGGATAAGAGTCCCTCCCTGAGCTGGCGCACAGAGGACAGCTAAGGTCCCACTGGGGAGGAGGGAAGAAGGTCACCCTGCCCGTGTTTTTTGCCCCCATCGTGGTCTGAATTGAGTTCTTCAATGTTCTGCTCCACCAAAATGAATATTTTCCCAAGAAAATGATGATTGTGAGCCATTATTATTTCTTCTCCCTGGACGGTCCCGTTCCCCGAGTATCAATTGCACACTGTTAGCCCAAGCAAACAGGGACTTTTCTTCTTTGTGAAGGGACAAGAGGCCCTTGTACTCTCAGAATAGTTATTGCTGGACGTCAATTCCCTTAGGATAGTTTCCTCTCTGGGTTCCTTCCACTTTTTTTTTTTGTTGTTGTTGTTAAGTAGTTAACTTGAAATAAAGCATTTCAAAAAAAAAATCAAATAAAAGGGAAAAGTGCCTACCATGAAGAACACTGAATTCAAACTTTCTGTGGGAAAGAAATGAAAATGGGGATGGGGCAGAGCAGCTTGGTTATTTAATTTAGATGACTATCCCTCACGTTTGTGAAGAGTAGCTGACTCCTAGTGGGGGCAGTGGGCCGGGACTGCTTTCTGTGGATGAAGTCATAGTTCTCACCTTGATCAGCGGTGGCAGATGCAATCCTTATCCCCATGTTACAGCGGACACACTGAGGCAGAGGGGGTACAACCACAGAGCACGCATGCATAGCCCTGCTTCCAAGCCTGTGTGCCCAAACCCTGCATTTTACCGTCCTTCCCTGATAGCGAAGTGCCTCAATGATTTGTGGTAAGACTTGGAAGGGGCGGCACTTTGCCTTTCCTGGTGTGGAAATGCACAGAAGTGGAGGCTGCATGAAGTTGGAGCCTCTGCGGTGGCTGCAGGGAACTGCTCTCCTGCCTGGGAATGGATGCACCTGGTTCCGGAGCATCCTGCCTACCTGGAAATGGCCCTGCTCCTTTGTCATACTGTCCACTGAAGGGCGACAGTCTCCCCCTCCAGGTGCAAGCCCCATGGTGACCGGGGCACCCCTCACCTTTGCATCTATAGCAACCACCCCTGCAGGTTCACTCAAGGGACAGCAGGTTCAGAAAGCATCCAGGACCAGTGAGGTCGGGGAGAGCAGCACCCGATGCCCGGGGGGCCCTGACCCAGGACACGTGGGCACCCATTCTACAGGGGGAGCATGGGTGTGGGGGGGTCGCTACAACTATCTACAGAAGGGTCGTCGCACGGAAGAGTTCATGCAAGCCAGGACCCAGGCTGGACGGCAGACCCCCCACTGTGAGGGACACTTTGATTACTCGGTGATGGTGCTCTTAGAACAGAGCTTGGTACTTAGGAGTGCTCCCTGAACACCAGGTCAATCAACAAATGAATCACAATCAATGTCCCGGGGATCCTACTGAGTATAACTTAGGCTTCCAGTGATAAATGCTGTGCGTTATCCAGCGGGAGGACTGTGCGAGGCAGGTATGATTTAGAGCCCTGTTTTACAGGCAGGGAGCACAGGACATCAAGAAGTCAAGTGACACAGACTGTGGTTCTGAACCCAGTTTGTTCCCTTTTTCCCCGGCCCACCGGTTTTGTTGCCCTTTGGCCGGGGGCTTTTTGGGAGGCGGGGGTTGGGGCCGGGCGGGGGGGGGTTCTTGGGCGGGCGGGGGTTTGGTTCGGTTTTTTCCCAGGTTCTTCCCCTTTGCCAAAAAAAGAAGAAAGAAGTGTTTCTGAAATTAGGTCGATTCTACAGGCCTCTTGAGTGCGGCCAGGGAGCCAGTGGGGGCCACTGGTGGAAAGACCCCTCCCACGGCCAAGCTCTGGGACCACAGGCCCACTGTGGCCGTGGGGACGTGAGCACACCCACGTGCCGTGGCACATTCGTGAGTTCCCAAGTGCTAGCTCTCCAGAGCACTCTGCTCACGCCCACCCTCGGATCCCAGCTGCTGCCACGTGCAGTGGCGTCTCAGGGACGCTCCAGAGGTTCCAAGAGGGTTGGGAAGATGGCACAGGAACATGTGTCAAAATGGCCCAGCATCGGGTCTTTCCAAAATCAGGAGGTGGGCTTCCACGGTGGGAGTCCTCCCCACAAACGTGAGAGCTCAAGCAAATGCATTAAAGAACGGGGCTGAGATGAAATAGGAAATGCTGAATATACAACTCCGCTTGCTGAGGAGCTGGTGTGCATCAGGAAAGGCCCTCTTCTGCCCTGGCTGGGGCCGTTCACTACTGGGAGGTTTGGGTTTTGTCTTCATTTCGCTGTGGTAAAATTAACACACCACATGAAATTTACCCTCTTTGCTATTTCTAGGTGCACAGCTCAGCAGTGTTAAGTATATTCACGCTGCTGGGAAAGAGATCTCCAGAGTCTTTGGTCTGGCAGGTTTGAAATCCCAAACCCATTCTAAAGCTCGCTTGCTCCCTCCCTGCGGCAGAGGCCCGCCTAGAGGTCCTCTCCTGGGAAATGGAGGAGGACTGTACGGCCCACCCAGCACACCCAGCTCTGGCCACGCACTCTCCTGCGAGACTGTCCAACCTGGCGATCCTCACCTAATGCCAAGGACACAGACCAACTCAAGGTGACTCAGTTGTTGCGAGGACTAAGTAGGAGGTGCAGGGAGACTTTGGGAGGACAGCAATAAATGGCACAGGCACCAGGAGGAAGGAAAAGAACACAGGGACCGGCTCCGAGTTGTGGAGAAAAGCTGTCCCACGCCCGAGAGCTACAACCACACACAAGGCCCCGTGACCACGGCTGCTGCACTGAGGTTGGAGGAAGACGTGCTGCTGAGCAGGGTGACCTCACGCCCCCCACCACCTGGGAACAGGCCACTGTGAACCACGGGGAGGAGCACCAAGCGGGGCACGGGCCACGGGGGGAATCGCAAGGCTGCCTTCCCAGGAAGCCCACTTGGACTCCAGGGAACCCAGAGCTTTATCCTGAGAAACTCATGAAGGACCCTTCATTTCCAGTGTCAAGGTCGCTTATTTGTGAACTAAGATAATTCTCCATTTTTTTTGTTGTTGTTGTTGTTGTTATTTTTAATTTCTCAATGAATGGGTTAAGTACGCAACCCAAAACTATAAGAGTTCAGGACAAAGGGAGAGAATCATGGAAGTATCTCAAGATTTTCTAAAACAAACAAGCAAAAAAAAACCAAGACCATCAATACCGTGTTTGCCATCTGCAAGGTGGGGTCCATCAAGCCCAGGATTTCCTCGTTATAACTTGATTCCAGGCTGATGATGTCATCGATGACATCATCCATCTGTAGGAAAAAGCCACAGGAGAGAAATGAGCAAAACTGTGCAACACACCCCAAAAGGGACCTGTCCCACCTAAAGCGATCATGCTCTTTAGTTAGGTCTTAAGAGTGACCGTCCTCTCCCCAGTAAGATGGAAACACAAGACCACTAACATCCAGGACGCTGATCGTCTGTGGCCAGCATCTGAGGGGTCCCAGGTGCCCAGGGCTGACCTAGGGATTTGCATGGGCTACATCTTTTACCCGGACACATCCCTATCGGGGTCGGTGCTGTTACTGCAGTAACCGTCCGGGTGAGATGGAGAAGTGCCTGCCCAGAAGCACACCCTGAAGCGGGCTGGAGCCACCATCTGCCCCTGGCTTTCCCCACTAGGCTGAACTGCCTGTCCTGAGCAGGAAAGATGGCAGGAAGCCTCTTCTTGAACAACAGCGGCCACTTCCTGTTTTCCTTCCCATACCCTGCCGGAGGAGGAAAAGGCAGAAGGGAATTCAGCCCTGGTTCCGGAGGCCTTGTAAGACACCGTGGCTCTCGGGACCCTGGCTGGCCCTGCCCGGATCAGCAGTGGTGTGTAGAGTAACCAGCTCCTTGCAGGGCAGCCAGTGAGCACTGTCCCCCAGGAGCACCCAGGACGGCGTGCTCCCACTACGTTAATCTTATCCCGGAGGCACCCAAGCATCAGGTAGGATGGTAAACCACAGCGATGACACGTGCACGGCGGCAGTTGCAAGAGAAGCCTGCAGACACCTCTCTGTAAATGGCCCACGTGGGTGAGCCAGGTGCTGTGCGTGTGCCCGGGTCTGCACAGAGCTTCCCAGGCACCCAAGGGGACCTCAGAAGGCACAGGGATGCTGCCCTGGGTCCTTCGGCCTCCTGTTAAAAAGCTGAGCCCCTATGTCATGGGCTTGGGACAGAGTCCTGCTTCTCCCACTTCTCAGCTCAAGAGGCGCCATACACCAATCCCTAAATGGGGGCTAATGATGCTCCCCGTCCTGTTGGCTTCTGGGGAGACCTCAGGATAAACCGTAGAAGGAATTCACTGTCAGGAAAGGAGTGGACATGTGAATGTGAGAATTACAAAGTGATCCCTCAGAAGCATAACGGGCAGCCAACTGTGCAAAACTGCTAGCATTCTGTTACATCCCATCTCTGGGTGGCACTAGTTTTGTTTGTTTTTAATGGATGATTTCTAATTGAATCCATCAGTTGTTTTCATGAAAATAACATTGGTGGGCTTAATGTGCTTTTTTTTTTCATATATTTTTTTCCTCTCCTAACAAAAAAATCATACAAGTAGATAGTGGGAAATCCAGAAAAGTACAGACTACAAAAATGTTCCATATTCTAATACAGAAAATTGCAAAAGCAAAACACGAGAATTCTATTGCTGCTTACTTTCTCTCTGGCGTCTCTGAACATATGCATACACACATAAATAGATGTCACATGATTTATTCATTAAACAGGATGCTGTAGAGGAACTTTTCGTTATTTGGGAAAACAGCCACTAGGTATTATTAAATCCATCATGTCTCAGAGCGTGTGTTCTGGGAGATTCCACTTGTACGCCAATATAAGTGACACATCTTGCCCGTAAGGACTTGTAAGGACGAAAACTGCTACCCTACCAACCTGTGTAACACACAATGATGATGGCACACCAAGAGCGTTTATGTCTTACTTATTAAAACTCATACACCTAAGCACTTTCCAACGAACCAAAGCCACGTTGGGGAAACATACATTGGACATAGATACCTAGTAATTATTTAATGTTCAGCTACTGGGAAGAAAGTGGCCCAGTTCATAGCTTCCCATACTTAATAAAGAAAGAAAGACAGGAAATCAGTGGAGGTGAGACCCTGAACTCGTCAGGAAGGCGGTGAGCGGTTCCTACCTGCATGCACGAAGCCCGTGGGTGTGCGTTCATGCTGGGGCACTCGCTCTCCACCCTGTTTTGCTCTTCAAACTTATAAAACCCCTGCAAAACACAAGCCAGAAGAGCCCTTGGTTTGGATTTGCAGGTGACTCTGTGGGGACGCGTAAGCGAGGCTGACAGCGGAGCAACAGACCAAGAAAGCTCTCAGACAAGGCAGATCCAACCAGAGACAGCGGGGTGAAGGGGGACCTCGGGCCAGTCACCTTGCTAGATGACAGATCTGGACAGAGGAATGGTCCGTTTGGGCACAGGGAAAGGACATGGTCCTTCTTGTGATTAAAGTCACTTCTGAACTCGAACATTTCGGAGTCCAGGAAAAGGCTCCACCAAAAACGAGGCTCATCGTCTCAAGATTCGGAAAGAAGAAAAGGCATTAAACCACCACTCTCCTCTCGGGGATTTTTGTGCTTCCATTTTGATGCGACCGTGAGCTCTCTCGCAGGTCTGTCCGAGTCTCGGCTCCCATCCAGCCTTTACCAAAGTGGGTGTAACAGGCAGTTTTATCATGGAACCCGATGCAGGCAGCCGTCCACCCTGGTTTGTCTGTCAGAATCTCAGGGGCCGTATGTATTATTCACATCTGGCACGCCAACGCTGCTTGTTTCTTTTATCTTTTTTTTTTTTTTTTTTCGACTCAGGGAGAAATAAAAATAATATTCCAGACACTCACAGCGGCGGCCAGGCCCTGCCACCTGTCCCACACCTTTTCTATTTCTGCTCTTCCTCTTCCGCCTCTCCGTCACCCCTCTGCATCTTCGCCACCCCCTGAGCTGGAGGGCAGGGACGGGAAGAGGACATGGGGTGAGGGAGGCAGAGCCCTGCTGGGGAGGCCGCTGTCAGGGGCAGTGAACCCCAAAACCCAGAGACGGGGGACAGGAAGCCGGAGGGTCTGGACAGACCCTGGTGGCTGAGGCTGGGTGGATGAGCAAGTGAGGTCAGGGAGGGAGGAGGAGACAACAGACAGGTACTGAGTGGGAGGAGGAGGAGGAGCAGAGAGGAGGATGCATTACCTCTTTGTCACAGTTGGAGTTAAGCGTGAGCAGGGCCATGGGGCTGTTGGGCGCGCTGCTCCCCGGCACCGGTGGCATGACGCGATCGCCCGGCTGGTTTGGACATGGCAAGCTCAGGACTTGGTTGGCATGTTTGTTTGCTAAAGTGGTGGAAAGGTACTGCTTGACCTGCTGCCGCTGCGCTTGCTGTATGTGGTACTTGGTGGGGTTTTCGAGGTGGGTCTGCACCTGAGCACAGCCGGGGAGGGAAAAGAAGAGAGCACGTTATTCCCGAGCGGCGGACGGCTGTCCTACAGGTGCCCAGCGGACCCACCAGCCACCTGGAGCAAACTAGGAAGCGCCCCTAGGTACCAGGCACCGCGCTAAGGGATTTCGATATTATTGAAGTCTAAAGTCCAACACGTAGGATTCGGGGGTAAGACTCTGTTTTATTTCCCCGCTAATTAACTACCCATCTCTGTCAAACCTTGTGCCCTTCTTCTCATGTCTACTCGTTAAATGTTTGCAAGTATCGGTAAGGCTAACGTGTCTCCAAGGCACCTGAAAACATTTAGTAAGATCAAAGTCGCAGTCTCACATATGCATATTCAGTGTATCACACTTTCCTTGGCAAAGAGAAGAGCTTTCTGTTGAAACACACGCACGTACACACACAAAATAATCCACCAAACTCCTTAAAAAGTCACTGTAAAAAGCTTGTAGAACGTAAACATTTCAATGTTTAAATCAGCTGGTCGAGGATTAACTCCTCCTCCTTTAATTTGAATGATTAACATTTTAATTACAAAGGAATTCAATTAAAAAGACAACTCCACGTTAAACAGGTTTTTTTTTTAAAAAAAAAAAAACACGCTTAAACACGTATGTGTTTTTAAAGTCATGACTAAGTCACCCAGATACTTTTTATCCTTAGAAACATTAATGCAGAATTATAACTGCTTTTTTTAAAAAAAAAAAAATCAATGACATTCAATTTAAATCGACTCTTTCCCTAATAGACACAATTTAACTGTAAAGGGTACAGTATGAACAGGAGATGGAGATCACACAGCCACACGCCGGGGAAATAAACCCCACCATGGACCCTGTTCAAAACTCTCCTGAATTACTTCTCATTGCATCAGACCATAAGCATCCTAAAAAGAGTAGATTTGCCCTGACTGAGCACCGTGCGTGTGCTGACTACAGCCACATTAAAAAGGTGAATCAGTCCACCGGCATGTCAGAAACCAAAGAGGAACAAGAAGAACGCTCACCTGATAGTGATTATATTCTAGCATTTCCAGCATCACAGCGCTCTAGGTGGCCCCGATCCAGCGAGAAACGGCAGATTATTCTCCCTCCACTTTCTGTGACTCCAACCCCAGGACTGACTGGCATAGGCCAGCACCATGACCAGCGGCCGAGACGCCGCCCGAAGCCTGCCTCCCAGCCCTGCTTATAACAACCTAAGCTAATTAGCTATGCATGTAAAAACCATCCTCACAAGGGGCTTTTTTTTTAAGCCGTAGGAGTTTGGTCTTAAATATTGATATCGGTTTTCCCCCTGGCTTGACGTCACGCTTTTTTTTCTTCGATATCAAAGAACCTTTTTAAGGGATGAGCTATCAAAGTCCAGCTCAGTGGTACATCAAGGCCGATTCACGATTCATCTTTCGTTCCGGTGGTATTAATAGACAATGGCATTTCTCTTCCAGCCATAGGTTAGGGGCTGGGCGCCCCCTTTGGGGCCGTCGGTTGCCCAAAAGCTACGGCTACACAGGAGACCTTTCAGTGGCCACACAACGCTGCCACTTCCGAGTTCACGAAGACCTCTTTCACAGAGGGGGGCCTGCTGCATGGTCGACCTCAGCAGCCTCATCCTGCGCCTCTGTGCAGAGAGCTCTTAGCTGGGTGGACACGGGGCCTGATGACCGTCTCCCCCACCCCATCAGGAGGAGGGGGCTGCCCTGAGCCAGATGCGAGACACATAGGAACAAAGAAAGGTTTTTCCCAATGGAGCCCTCAAGTTGGGAAGCATGGGCATGTTTGCTACAGGTTTTCTAGTATTATTCTCGGAGCTAGAGAACAACAGGTTACCATTACACATAATTGATGCATGTATGTGTCTATTCTTTGGATCATTATGCACCGCTGTGTGCTCGGCACTGCAAATCACAGAACACGCTGAACACGAGCCCATGTGAAAAGAGACAGCACTTCCAGCTTTGTAAAAGGGACAGTATGGGGTGAGGCAAAAAGAGCCAAGAGCAGAGCCGGGGGGAGGGGAGTGGCGCACGCCTGTGATTCCAGCAGCTCAGGAGGCTGAGGCTGGAGGATCACAAGTTTGAGGCTAGCCTCAGCAACTTAGTGAGGCCCTAAGCAACTTAACAAGACCCTGTCTCAAACTAAAAAAATAAAAAGGGCTGGGGAGGTGGCTCAGTGGTTAGGCACCCCTGGGTTCAGTGCCCAGGACCAAAACAAAAGGGGAAACACACAGATATTTTAAAATAATGATGAACAGGCCTCATGGTCACTGTTGAAATGGGAAGATAGTATTTTAAGCATAAAAATGTTACATTCATTAATTTTGTCCAAATACGCAGCATTGTGACATCCTTGGAGATGACCACCTTGGACTCTCTCCAGTGCCTGACCTCACCGCACAGAGGTCTCGGAGACACATTCGGAGCTCCATAAAGGGTCCAGACGCGACAATGACGAGGACAACAGACACTACGAAAATAAACAGAGTCGGTGGCAGCGGGCGCAGCTTGGAGAAGAAAGGGCTGCACGTTTAAAAATAGACGCCAGTTCACCCACAGGCCCTTAGTCCTTAATGAACCCGAGTTTCTGCTTCACTCAGGAACAAGGCCACCTGCTCCTGGCCGGGCCCTGTCACTGAGGTCCCACACGTGCAGGTCTCGGTGGCCCAGCGGGTTCCCTCATCCTCTTGCCCTCGGCCTCCTGAGCCTCCAAGCCTTCAGGTGAAGGCAGCCGGCCTCCCACCAGGATGTGCAGGGACAACGTGGCAGCTGTGAGGAGGGACTGGGGTGGCAGAGAAGGTGACAAGAAGAGGGTGCATCTTGAGAAGGCTTAGAGGGGCCACACGGCCGCCCACTTGCTCTGTGATGGACCAGCCCAGGGTTCCCAGCGGTTCAAGGGCAGCTGGCAACACCAGCTTCTTTTAGTAAGTAAAATGCTCTGGGTTTAAGTAACGGACAGCTGTTTGTCTTATTCTCCACGTGGCATGACCCCAATCAAACACGTGCCGGGCTGGGCTCTGCCCACGAACCCCGAGAACAGGCTCTGTTTCCCATAGTCCAAGGGACAGGGCCTGATGGACAGTCCCTGGCGGAGGCCTACCGTCTCCACTTCTGGGAAGTCCTGTCCAAGTCTAGGTATCGCCTGGTGCTGCTGCTTTGAGAGATGAAGTTCCTAACTCCGGGGACAGGTGGCTAAGAATGTGAGGCCTGAGTTCCAATTCTGGGTTTCCACCTGCTATTCCAGTGACCTGCGGCCAGTCCTTAACTCCTCCCGGCTCTCGTGTTCTCCTGTGTTCATGGGGAGCCATAACAGAGCCCACACAGGTGTGTCTGCACCACCCAACGAGGCACAGGCAGTACCCACCCCAGAACTCCACCAGGGTTTTATCTTAGGACACTTTAAGGCCTTCAGAGGGACCGTGACCATGTGGGTTGTGCCTCTCGACACTTACCCTTCTGGGAATTAAAGTGGAGACCTCCAGAAACGGAGGACCATAGCCGCCACGTGCCCCTTGGTGTCAGAGTGACAGCCCGCCGTGGGATGGGAGGGAAAGAGGAGGACGGTCGGTTCATTCCGACAGAAGTTTTGAGGGACAGAGCCTTGGTAGGGTCCTGGACACCCCAGGCTCTCCGGTCACACGATGAGAACCCTGATCTAGAACACGGTCAGCATGGTGGCACCGTCTGCCCTGGCCACACCAGGCATGACTCTGGTGGCAAGTGGGACCCTCATACAGAGCACGCTGGAAGAAGATCCTGGGGGGCCCCGGCACCCCGACCCCAGCACCACCGTGCGGCTCTCCAGCCCTTCCCAATGGTAAACCCGCTCAGCCATCGAACTGACAGCTTCTTAGTAACTTGGCTCTCATCGATTTTGAAATAGTCGACCCGTCACGCAAATGAGAACATGCACATAGTATAACAGAGGACAGAAACATCTTTACGATTTCCTGATCATACCCACGCTTTTGACCTTTAAACCAAACACCCGTGTTAAGGACTTCAGATAGCAATGGCTGACCACCACTCAGTACGGCTCATCTCTGAAGCACAGACCGCCAAGCAAAACTAGGACACTATCCCAACACCCCAATCACTGACACCAATCCTGTTCCTTATGGATTCTGCTTGCCATCCGAGTCGCAGCGTGAAAATCCAAAGGCTTTGGAACTCTGCTTCTAGCTACGGCCCCTATCTCTCTGCCGTTTCCTTCCTTCTTCCAGATCTTGAACTGATAACGGAAGAACTGGACTGGATCGCCGCCGCCTGACCACCTCCCTGTAGCTCTGCCACTTCCTGAGGGACGCTGACAGGCCATTCTCCATCAGTTTCATTCTAAAGAGATCCTGGAGTACATCCCTGTCCAGGTCAGACTCCGGCTCTAAATGCCACCGTCCTGCGGGAACAGGACTTGCCGGGGCAGAAGACCCTCCAGCAGGTCGAGTGCCCTTGTGCTCATCCACTGTTACCCAGAATTCGAGTAAAACTGGATGGAGATTCCCACAGCCCTTCAGTTTAGGATGGACCTCACTGTTTTCCAACAAGTCAACAGAGTGTTGAGATCCCTCGTGTGGAGGGAGAAAATGTGTTCTCCGGTAAGTTCAAGGGACACTGAAGGGATGACTCAATGGCTCTTCACTACCATGACCCCACCACCTTCTTTCTAAAATGTTTTTAAAATATCAATTTACAAATAAGTCAATTATGTCTTCATAAGCCTCGGGGGAAGAAATGGTGAAACAGAAAACGAGCTTTCTTCTTGTTTTCAGGGCTGCGGTACGACCCAGGGCGCTGGGCGATGCTTTGCCAACTGAGCTCCGCCCGAACCTGGCTTCCGTAAGCGACGGCGGCAAGCCTTGCAGGGTGGCAGTCTGATGAGGACCAAGGCCCCCTTCCATCCCGCAATGGTGACATTACCGACCACAGGACTCTCGATTCTGAATGATCTGTGCGAAGGAACCCTCAGCTAAGAAGGAGGGTGAC